GCACAAGGATACGACTCAACAGGTAACACATCAATGCCACCAGTGGCGAGAGTGGTCTGATTACTGTATGTGTGTGTATGTGTGTGTATGTGTGTGTGTGTGTATGTGTGTGTGTGGTTGGTTCAGGCGTGTTGGTGGCGGCCGTCTGGATGGCCTCCTCACCCAGTCGCCCCACACACCGGTGGCCGGATGCACCACCACATTCAGCGGGGGTGGTCGTTGGCGGATTCTGGTGCTCACCAACACCAGCCACGACTTCGTCGCGTGGATTGGCATTTCGGTTTGGGGGGACGGCACCGGTCAGGTCGATAGACAGGCAGCTTTGCTCGTCAACTGCCACATTTCTCCTTTCTTTCTGACTGTCATTGTCTGCAGTAATGGTTATTGTTAAGACAACCGAGGCGCCTGCGGCTCGTGTGAGTGAGGATGCGCCTTTCAAGGACCGCTACCCCGTGACCACTCAGCTGGCCCGTGTGGCGCTGGGGCGAGTGGCGCCATACGTCTTCGACGGACAAGTACAACAGCAGCAGGATGACGATGACGACGGTGCGGTCAGGGGAGGATGGGACACACACATGGTGGTCATGGATGGATGGATGGCATTTCTTCTCTGTCTGTCTGTGTGGTGTAGATTCCGACGGCCATGGCGGCGGTTGGGATGATATGGACGACGACAGCGACGGAGAGGACAGCGGAGGTTCACACGAGGGGGAGGGACACACAGCGGACGACAGATGGTCGACCCGCATCAGACACATGTGTGCGTGTGTGGTTATTTGATAGGTGAGGATGCCTCAGCTGCGCAGGAGAACAGCGCCAACGACGGCAACGCATCGCCGTGATAGCACACGCACAGACCGATCTCAGCACTCACTTTTCGGTTTGTCGCTTGCGAGTACTGCGTGTGTACCGCCCGTACAGCCGTGCGATATCTGTGAATTGATATCTGTGAATCGATGGGGATAAGACGCAGGGGACGGATATCAGATATACGAGCCATTCGTGTTTGGTAATGGATGTCTGTTCACGCACAAGAGACGCCTGTACACTCACGGAAACGAGACCATAAATCCACACACCCCGCGATGGCCACCACACGACACTTCACACATGTACAGTACATGTCAGCCACGCTGCATCGATAGCTATACATAACATACACACACATCAATCAGTCAATGGCATCACTCGTCCCGATAAAGAGTCACTCACGTCACGCACTGACTGATGTGTCCATCCAGAGGGAGAGCTGTACACCACCAGACACAGATGGATGGATGGATGGATGTGGGGATGGATGGGTGGCCATGGTGCAGCATGCGAATGTCAATCGGGTGCGATGGATGGATGAATGGACAAGAAAGACACATACATAGCGGCAGACAGCGGGTGACACCCATCTCACGCACACACATACACTTGTTAAATAGGCATTCACACACATCAATCGCACACAGCAACACGTGCACCAGAGGGCATGCAGGCACACACAGGTATAGAGGGGGGGGCCTTGTCCATCCATCCACCCGTACCGTCCTGGCTGCAGTCAGTGTCTGTCGCATCCATCAGACAATTGATTAGCCAGCGCAACATAAACCTTCCTGCCTGCCCGCCTCACAGCACCTTCCCCTTTGCACCGACCAGCAGATCCACCACCAGTACGCACGCCGTCTCGAATTGTTGTGTCGGTCTCCCTCCAGTCAGCTAATTCGTGTACCGACCTCCTACCATAGCGAATTGTCCTTTCGTGTGCTCAAAACACGCACACGCGGACCGACAGACAGATGGGTGGATACAGAAAAAGGCCAACCACGTGATACACACGCGCCCACGTGCTGCGCCGCGCCCCAGCCGACAGCAACCCATGCGATGCCCCTCGTGTCCGTCGACACACCAGAGGGCTCCACACAGGCTGACCACACGTGTGCCAAATACACAGTCACACACAAAGACAGACAGAGACCGACATACAAAAAAGTTGTTGCCTCGCCCCCGTGTTGACAACATGGCACCGCACACCACACCAGCACACGCCCATCACTCAATCAGCCCATCCAGCCCCTCGGTCAGTCAAGCGATCACGGCCGGCTCACGGCCTTCTTGCTTCTTGATCTACCGTCCGTTCCTGCTGGTGAATCTGCTGAGGGCGGTGAAGATGCGCCACTCCTTGCGATCAAGAGAGCGGCGGGCGGCGGCGACGGATGCACAGGGGCCGTGTGACCGGACAGACAGAGATGGGCTGCGGCACTGGGCGCGCTCCAAGTGGCATGGTGAGGTGTAGGTGCGGCCGTCGGAGCCGCACACCTTGTTGAAGCCGGAGGTGTCGAGGCACTCGAAGGATCCACACACATCTGCACGGACCGGACCACCCAACCAACCAACCAAGACACACACGGGGTATCCAAGGACATCATCGAGTCGTCATGTGATCGTCCAGCTCTCACTCACCACGGTGGGTATCATCGCTGCAGGGGTGGTCGGCGGCAAGGGTGACTTGTGTAATGCCCTGGAGGGCGTTGCGGCAGCTCTGCTGCTCCATCGCACACACACTGGGGTAGGTTTGGCCGTCACTGCCGCACACGGCCATCAGGCCAGTGGTGTCAAGGCACGTCCACTCACAACGGTGGGCATCGTGGGGAGGGGGGACTTGCAACACAGCAGCACCTGCACACACACACAGAGACAATCAGAGCACAGTCAGAGCACGGAGGTGACTCCCTCCCTCCATCTCTATTTCCTTCCGTGTGTGCCACACTCACCCACAAGCAGGGCGTTGGTGATCAGGGAAACCACGGCAGCCCGAAACACACCCATACGTACGCGACGACAGCGGGAAGGGACGGTACAGACGGCCTTCTGGGAAGGAATGGCTGGGGGGAAGGTGGGGATCTTCTGGGAAGCCTCCACCCACTCAGTCAAGGGATACGGACGCAACACAGACGCTGGAAAACCGCAAAAGGAACTGGGAACAGAGGCAGACGAACTCGCGGACGACACGGAGAAGTGGGGCCGCGCAGAACAGTGAAAAGCCCTTTAAGGACGAGCAAAGGAAGCAAACCGAAGAGGTGAAAAGGGGATGGGGCGAGCAAAGAGGGTGAAAAAAGGCGAAGACACAAACGCCGTTGAGCTCGCACGCGCACGTTAGGGTTTGTCTAGGGCGCTTCGTGAAACCGCTGCTGCTTAGGGTTTGTCGGGTTTGAGAAGGCGAGAATCAACCAACAAGCTAACCGCAGCGTCGTCACAGATCTATCGCACATATCGCACCACTACCGCTGAGCGGCCCTTTTCGGTCGACTCTTCATCGCATCCACTCCCCCATTCTATCGCACTAACTCATTCACATCGCTTCAATGTCTGTGGTCCCCAACGCGCTCGCTTTGTTGGTTGCTGCAGCCCTGTGCTGGTGGGCAACACATATCATGACTCACAAGAAGAGAGAGGGAAGGGGCACAAGGGCACGGAATGGAGCTGCCTCCCTGCTTGTGCGTGTGTGTGTGTGTGTCCATTGCCTCAGCGCCGTGGCTGCCTCCCCTGCCCTGCGGAAGCTGCAGATCTTCGGAGATGACGGTGAGTGAAGGAGGGGGCGATGGATGACGCAACGGACAGCACATGAAGGACTTTCTGGTGTGTGTGTGGTTTGTGTGTTGTTTGTTCAGTCGAGATTGACGAGCACGGCGTCATCCGCACCGACGACGACCTCGCCACACCCGTCCGTAAGCGGCGCACATCACAGCAGGAAGGGAAGAGAACCACTCAGATCATCTTCGTTGGACATGTGTGCGCGTGTGTGTGTCATTCATTCGTTGTGTTGTGTTGTGGATGTGCAGAGATGGCCCCCTACTACCACCATCTGCCAGTGTCGTCCATCCTCGGCCTCAACCTCGACGCCGTGTCGAAGCTTGAGAGCGTCCACCTCACATTCAACGACACATCTGAGGCAAGCAAAGCAGCGAGGAGGGAGGGGGAGAGGCAAGACGTGAACGTGTCTGTGCGTCTGTGTGTGTGTGTGTGTGTAGTTCTACGGCACGGTCCAGAGTTTTATCAAGACGCCGAGCGGCATCATAGTCATCCACATGGGCGGCGGGTGGGAACTTGTCGTCAGCTACGGTAGACAACCGACACACACCCAAAGACAGACACACACACATGCGCAGACATCCGACCCACATTATTCCCCGCCCACCTTTCCCCTTTGTCCCACATGACATTTTGTCAACAGCGGGCATGACGTTGATCGACAAGGACGGCACCGTGGCCAAGGAGGTGTTTGTCGAGATCCAGGACGAGAACGGCACCGTCGTCTTCCCCACCGCCTCCACCAACGACACACGTACGCTCATGGGCGCCGCTGACTTCGAGGAGTTCCCCGGTATGCTCTCGCGCGCCAACGTCGGTGTCCAGCACCAGGGGCGCGAGCAGTGGATCGGGTAACCAGCCCTCACAGACACACACACACACACCCCGACACGCAGATGGTGGATGGGATGGTTGTCTGTGTTTCGTCAGTCAATTTGGCCGCGACGGCAACGAGTCTCTGCAGTCCTTCATCAAGGGCTGTGCGGACATGACGGGGTGCGGGTCGCTCCGGGTGGGCCTGGCCCCGCGTGTGCGTGGTCAGACCAGCCCCAGGGGCGTGACGAGCAGCCTGGCGCCCTCAGACCTCAACGCACTCGGCAACCTAGACTGCGAGTACTACGCGCGAGGGGGATGTGATGCGGCAGCCGAATCCCGCGAGTTCTGAGCTGACCTAAACTGGGCTGGGCTGGGCTGTCTTTCCCTTTTCTCCCTCCCTCCCTGTGTCATTCATGCGTACCTTCAAGAGTGCGTTCAGGAGTCTTTGCGCGTGTCTGGTATGTATTGCATCGATGCAATACACGCGTCTCGGCGTTTGGGTCGCTCACGAGTCTGCGTTGCACCGCGAGGGACAGATGAGTCAGATTATCTGTTCGTGTCGGTGCCGGCCTGGCGTGTGGGCAACCGAATGCTGAGGCGTGTGCTGACTGACATGGCTGTATGGGAGGAGGCGTACACGTGTGTGTGTCTGAGTGGGTGTGCGAGGAGCTTTTTGCGTCCCGTCAAGTGTGTGTGGTGGCTCTTCCCTCTCTGTGTCCCTTCGATGTTTATGCGTCATTCATGTCTCTGCATCGCCGGTACCTACATGTTTGTTTGTTCTCTCTCTTCTCTCTGCAAGCGCGTGTATCTTCATTCGTGGTGGGGGTCAGTGACGCGCAGGACAGCAGCACAGCGAGTGTACGGGTAAAGGACAGGTGGGCTGCTGGGTAAGCTGGGCTGCATGGCTGTCTGCGTGGGTGTCGCCAGTCCACGGATGGATGAGTGAACCTTTTTTATAGACTGGTGCTGCCTCTTGGACGGCCACCGCGGACTGGATCTCATTTGCCTGAATTGTTCACCCGCAGTGTTGCAGTTAGCCCCTCATGATAGGGTTTCGAATGCAGGGTTTGGAACCCTAGCGACAAACCCCGCAAAGCGCCGATGCATCGCATTCATGCTCACCAGCTGAAGGAACGCTCAATCGGTGCGATGAGTCAATGGAGGCCGGCAGCTGCATCAAGCCGTGTCAGGTGCTTCGCATCTGCTGCATCGTCACAGTCACAGTCACAGGCAGACAGCGGCGCACACACTGATGGTGGACATGAGGGCAGCAGTGGAGATGCATCTCGATGGTCTTCTCCTGCTGCTGGTGGTGGTGTCGGGAGCGGCATCCGCAAGATGATGCACTTCTTCTTCAAACAAATACATCCAGGCAGGCACAGCACGACGGCAATGAGTGTATGAATGACTGAATGAAATGAATGACTCATATCACCTCTCTGCCTGCGTATGTGTCCACGTAGATCTGACGCCCCACTTCCCCTTTGAGGCCAAGTCTATCAACCAGAAGTCCCTCGCCGAGCTCAACGCCTACATCGACCACCTCGACCGCAGGCCCTCACGCCCACCTTCCCTCTCCCCCCTGCAACACGTCGAGCCGCCAGTGGTGACCCGCACTCTGTCGTTCTTCAAGGCCTACCGCACCAGGAGGGGCCGGCTGCTGCCTGGAAGGGTGCAGCAGTTCCGTATGGTGCTCCCCACCATCCCTCCAGGGGCGTCCGTCATTGACAGGGACCACATTGCTGCCGTGTATGTGAGCGGATGGGCGGAGGAGCGATGCCTCATTGCGTGTACTCACTCATCCGTGTGTGTTTGTGGGTCTGTGTCAGTTTGATTCGTGATCTGGAGGTGGCGTTGTCTGAGGGTGGTGGGCCGTTTGTCAGTGAGCCGCAGCCCAGCCCACTCTTCACACCAAAGAACTTCCAACGGTAAGGGACTGTGCTGTGGTTGTGCGATCGCCTCCTCTGTCTCTCTGTCTCTGTGTGTGTTTGTGTGTGTGTGTGTGCCAGCGATGAGTTGACACGCCTGTGGGAGCGCCAGACGGAGGACGCCATGAAGAAGCAGGCCGTCTACCAAGTGGACGAGAAATATCAACGGTGCAGGCAAAGAAGATGAGCACAAGGACGGGCATGTGTGTTTCTTTGTGTGTATGCAGGCGCATGTTGTGGCAGCGGTGGTTCTTCCACAAGTACCAGAACCAGCTGCTGAGGAAAGCAATAAGCACAAAGGTCAGCCTCTGCATTGCTGCATCCATCCACTCAGACGAGTCTGAATGCATTCCATTGAATGTGTGTGTGTGCAGAACACACGTCGGAGGAAGAAAAAGCTCGCGGCGGTGAACGAGCAGGCCATGACCAAAGTGCGGGCCAAGTTTGGCGATGACCCCGAGACACCGCCAGAGGACGTGCAAGTGAGAGAGACCCTCGAACGCAACACACAGACACACAGGAGGCCTTGTGTTTCGGGGATGTGTCGCTGGCTCATACGTAGGCCCATTTGGATCGTGTGCGAATCATCGAGAGCGGCTACCATCCCGACCTTGTCTTTGTGCAGCCAGGCCTCTCACCAGAGCACAGGAAGGTGACATACAGCCAGCACACGTATATTCATGTGTGGTCACTGCATTTGTGGCCGCGTCGATCCATCAGGAGGGCATTCGTCGAGTGTGTGGGCTCAACTTGACCAAGGAGAGCGATGTGTGGCTGCTGGAGAACATGTGGAAGGCCATGCGGGAGGACCGAGTGGCGGTGCCGCTCATCATCGGACCCAAAGACAGCTATGCTACCTCCGAGACACACGGATTCATCACGGTCAGAGGGTCATGCAGCAGCAACACATCTCACACACGGGATGCGTGTGTGTGTCGATCCGTGTCTGTGTCTGCAGATTCCGTACGATTTCGATGTGTGGGCATTGGCCGACTTCCTGGAGGAACATCTCGAGGACGCCAGAGATGCAAGAGCACAGGTAAAGCCGATAGACACATGGACGGCAGATGGATGCCATGTACCTGAGGGGTATCATTCGGCCGTTCTGTATCTTTGTGTCATGTGCTGAAGGAGGTGGGCGGCCTGAGGATACGCTATCATGACGAGCACGAGACCGACAGCAGCAGCGGGGTGGTCGAATAAGGGATGTACAGATAGAAAAAGAATGCACTGCTGCAGCTTTCGTTTTGGTATCCATGGAGCATCAGTGTTTGTGTATGTGTGTGTGTCTATCTATCTCTCTATCGAGGCACGTCAGACAGCCGCAGACGAGTGCGTCACACGTGCGTGTCTAAAGGTTTCTTTCTGAGTGCTCGACTCCCGGACAAAGTGTCTTTCCGTGTGGTCACGTGACAACGCATTCACGCACACTCACGATGTCAACGCAGGTTTGTCCCACTCACACAGACACCTGTCCGTATACGAGCATACGTCGAGCAGGGCTGCTCCACTTCAGCTGTACATACTCCAGGATTCGGCTGTGATGCGTGCGAGTCACGCAGGCAAACAGGCCTCACACACACACACTCACACATAGCGGCCGAGCCATCAGGTCAAAACCGGCCAGCAGTAGAGGGCAACACACCAACCCCAACCCCACAGCCAGGCAGGCAGCCACCCAGACAGGCACATACCAACAGAGGGGGAGAGAGGGAGAGAGGGAGGTGCGCAGAGGATGCATGGCGCAACGCAGACAGGTCGCCCACCCACAGCGATTGGGTCAGTAATGTGTCAGCAGCTGGTCTCTCTACAGAGTGGGCGCGCTATACGATCTCTCTGTATCACTGACAGCCACAGAGAGCACTCCAGACACTCTGCCAAGATAAACACACAGACAGGTGACACACATACAGACAGAAGATTCGAATACACTGTGGTGTGTGTGAATACCTATGGTGTTCCGGTATTGCAACGTTGGGTTGATCACTCGCCATTCTCCTCCTCGGCTGATGCATTGTCACCTGTCATGCAGACACACAGAGACCTGGATGTGATGCGGGTCGATGTGAGTCCATGTCTGCTGTGTGTCTCTTCCTTCCCTCATGTGTACCTCCGCTGTCCTCTCCGTCGCTGCCGTCATCCATATCATCCCAACCGCCGCCATGGCCGTCGGAATCTACACCACACACACACAAAGACAGACAGAGAAGAAATGTCGTCCATCCATCCATGGCCACCATAAGTGTGTGTGTGTCCCCCCCTCCCCTTTCCGCACCGTCATCATCGTCGATGTCGTCGTCTACTTGTCCGTCGAAGACGTATGGCGCCACTTGACCCAGCGCCACAAGGGACAGCTGAGTCGTCACGGGGAAGCGGTCCTTGAAGGCGCCGCTCTCAGTCACACCAGCCGCAGGCGCCTCTGTCGTGTGGACAGTAACCCTCACTGCAGACAATCAGGAAGAAAAGACACATGAGATTTGACCAGCAGAGCTGCCTGTCTGTCGGCCTGACCGGTGTTGCCCAAATCCCAAATGGCCATCCGCACGACGAAGTTGTGGCTGCTGTCGGTGAGCACGAGAAACCGCACAGCATCGTCGTAGCTGAATGTGGTCGAGCATCCGGCCACTGGTGTGTGTGGCGACTGGGTGAGGAGGTCATCCAGACGGCCGCCACCAACACGCTTGAGCCAACCACACACACAATCACACACACACACACACACACATACACAATCAATCACGCACCCCTCTCGCCACTGAGGCCATTAATGCGTTACCTGTTGACTCGTATCGATGTGTTATTGGTCTGGTGCGTCAAGAAGAAGTGCTGGAGGATCATGAACTTGGCGAACGACGACAGTGACGCCAAGTTGTCCGGGACACAGCCCGACATCCATCTGCCGGTGCCGCCAGAGTAGTAGATGTCGCTGCGCACTGATGGGTCGTGCTGTAGTCGGTGCCGCTGATACAGATGGTCGGCAGCGAGAGGCGGGTCGACGTCCAGCCGGAAGCCGGGCTCGTCCCGGATGGCCCGCACCTCACCATTGGCACGGCGGAAGATCTGTAGGCAGCTGCCGTCACCGAAGTCGATGTGGCGGCCGACCACCATGAGCTGCGCCAACATACGAGCTACCGATCCATACGCCTACACCACACCACAGACAGACAGACAAAGAAGAATGAGTGAGGCCTCTCTGCTCTCTCACCGCCCCGCCGTGTGTGTGTGCCTTACCGTCTTGTTGACGTGTGTGTTGATGTCAGTACTGGTGAACATGATGGGCAGCGTGCAGTAGCGGCAATGGCTGGCCAGCTGCAGCACCTCCCCCGTCTCATCCCACCGTCCGCCCTCCTCGGCGATCCACATCGCCACCATGAGCTCACCCATTCCCAGGTCGAACCGCAGCAGCTGCAGCTGCTGAGTGTTGATGCCATCTCCGTCACGGCTCAGTGAGTTGGCGAGGCGGGTGCGGAGCTCAGCTATGGTGAAGGCATCCCGGATGCTCTTCGATGTGGCCCTCAGGCGGGCCGCCGTGACGATGTCGGGCAGATGGCCTCGGCTGCCAACGAACAAGCAGCTGACGGGGTGCTCCTGGGCGGCTGACGGGACCAGCCGTCACGCCAACACGCGAGAGGAGAGGAGAAGGACACAGACAGAAGTCCATCCACTGCCTCCCCTCCCTGTCCTGCAATGGGGCCTGGCTGGCTGATGGACTCCTGAAGCTTTTAGGCTCGCAGAAGCAGGAGGAGATCTCTTACGCATTCATCCCCTTTCCGCAGCGATGAAGCCTCCATCCCCAGTCGCCTTATTGTCATTCATTCCGCAAAGCGAATGACGCTTCAACCTTCGTGAGGTTCGCCTGACACACAATTAGCTACGCACACCACTGTCTGTCTGTCTGTCTGTCTGTCTGTCTGTGCATTTCAGGTGTGTCTATGAAGCTGCTGGTGCTCTGCCTTGTTCTGCTGGCAGTGAAGAGCTGCCAGCCATCGGCGGTGTCTGTCGGTAGATGAGAGTGGCTGTGGAGGATCGCTGTCGTTGCCCGTTAAGGCAACAGATGAGCCAGAGGGACGGTTCACGAGAAGGAGGGACAGTTCGGAGTGCTCAGGGTTCTCAGCATGCAGTTGCATTACACGGCGGGATCTACCCCAACACACGCAGCCTCTGACACCCCCTCTCGCACTGTGCTGTCCTTCTGCATCGCATTACAGCGATCTCCCCCTCTCAAACAGGTATCCGCATTCAGCAGACAGAACCATAACGCAGAAAGCAGCACAGGGCGCATTCAGCGGCGTGTGAGTCTGTGTTTGCGCTGTGTGACCGATCAGGCGCCATCAGCACCTTGTCGTGTGGCTCGTCGGGCACCATCGGTGTCCCTTCGTCGTCGAACACAGTCAAATGAGCGTGCTGCGCCTCGTCGAGGCCCTTCGTGAAGATGTCAGCAGTATTCTCGCTCGAAGCAATCCAGTGGACGCAGAGCTGTCCTTTCAGGACCAGATCACGCACAAAGTCATATCGCACCAGTATGTGACGTGTTCTCTGCTTGACTTCCTCGTTGTAGGAGACCGACCCAGCGCCTCTGTTGTCTGTGATGAGCTTCGCTCGCTGCACAGGTAGGCGAAAGAAGTCAGCTAGTTGCCTGACAAACACCAGATCTCTGGCGCACTCATTCAGAGCGATGTACTCCGCTTCACCGGTACTCAGAGCAACCAGGGGCTGATTGCGGCTCCTCCACGACACAAGGTTTCCACCCAAGTAGAGGGCAAAGCCGCCAGTGCTCTTCCCGTTGTCCAGGTCAGCGTGGCTCGCATCAGCGTAGCCAAGCACTGAGAGATGATTCACATCGCCTGGCTTGAATGTGAGTCCGTGATCCAACC